AGTGGAACTTGTATGAGTGTCCTGACCCAGGTGGTGGTGAAAATATATGGGTGTCCTGACACAGGTGGAGGAAATATATGGGTATCCTGACTCAGGTGAGGGAAATATATGGGTATCCTGACTCAGGTGAGGGAAATATATGGGTATCCTGACTCAGGTGGGGAAAATATATGGGTGTCCTGACTCAGGCCGTGGAAATATATGGGTGTCCTGACTCAGGAAATATATGGGTATCCTGACTCAGGAAATATATGGGTGTCCTAACTCAGGCCGTGGAAATATATGGGTGTCCTGACTCAGGCCGTGGGATTATATGGGTGTCCTGACTCAGGAAATATATGGGTGTCCTAACTCAGGCCGTGGAAATATATGGGTGTCCTGACTCAGGCCGTGGAAATATATGTGGTGTCCTGACTCAGGAAATATATGGGTGTCCTGACTCAGGCCGTGGAAATATATGGGTGTCCTGACTCAGGCCGTGGAAATATATGGGTGTCCTGACTCAGGAAAATATGGGTGTCCTGACTCAGGCCGTGGAAATATATGGGTGTCCTGACTCAGGCCGTGGAAATATATGGGTGTCCTGACTCAGGAAATATATGGGTGTCCTGACTCAGGCCGTGGAAATATATGGGTGTCCTGACTCAGGAAATATATGGGTGTCCTAACTCGGGCCGTGGAAATATATGGGTGTCCTGACTCAGGCCGTGGAAATATATGGGTGTCCTGACTCAGGCCGTGGAAATATATGTGGTGTCCTGACTCAGGTGAGGGAAATATATGGGTATCCTGACTCAGGTGAGGGAAATATATGAGTGTCCTGACTCAGGCCGTGGAAATATATGGGTGTCCTAACTCAGGCCGTGGAAATATATGGGTGTCCTGACTCAGGCCGTGGAAATATATGTGGTGTCCTGACTCAGGAAATATATGCGTGTCCTGACTCAGGCCGTGGAAATATATGGGTGTCCTGACTCAGGCCGTTGAAATATATGGGTGTCCTGACTCAGGCCGTGGGTGTCCTGACTCAGGAAATATATTGGTGTCCTGACTAAGGCCGTGGAAATATATGGGTGTCCTGACTCAGGAAATATATGGGTGTCCTAACTCAGGCCGTGGAAATATATGGGTGTCCTAACTCAGGCCGTGGAAATATATGGGTGTCCTGACTCAGGCCGTGGAAATATATGTGGTGTCCTGACTCAGGAAATATATGGGTGTCCTGACTCAGGCCGTGGAAATATATGGGTGTCCTGACTCAGGCCGAGGAAATATATTTGTGTCCTGGGTGTCCTGACTCAGGAAATATATGGGTGTCCTGACTCAGGCCGTGGAAATATATGGGTGTCCAGGAAATATATGGGTGACTCAGGCCGTGGAAATATATGGGTGTCCTGACTCAGGCCGTGGAACTATATGGGTGTCCTGACTCAGGAAATATATGGGTGTCCTGACTCAGGCCGTGGAAATATATGGGTGTCCTGACTCAGGCCGTGGAAATATATTTGTGTCCTGACTCAGGAAATATATGGGTGTCCTGACTCAGGCCGTGGAAATATATGGGTGTCCTGACTCAGGAAATATATGGGTGTCCTAACTCAGGCCGTGGAAATATATGGGTGTCCTGACTCAGGCCGTGGAAATATATGGGTGTCCTGACTCAGGAAATATATGGGTGTCCTGACTCAGGCCGTGAAAATATATGGGTGTCCTGACTCAGGAAATATATGGGTGTCCTAACTCAGGCCGTGGAAATATATGGGTGTCCTGACTCAGGCCGTGGAAATATATGGGTGTCCTGACTCAGGAAATATATGGGTGTCCTAACTCAGGCCGTGGAAATATATGGGTGTCCTAACTCAGGCTGTTTTAATTAAACAGTATTAATTACATTTACCAGCGGGAATGTTCGACAAATCATATTGTAATTCCATCAATATATTGTTAAACCATATATGGCTTCCAATTGTGAGTTCAATCCTTGAGTCCAGTAGTGCTGAAAAGTCACATAATCGGGTTTAGTTTAAGAAACGTACAAGCGACACCAACTTAAGGGATATGAAAGATGTCGCAATCATTGAAAGCAGAATGGGAACATTTATCTCCTGGGATTGAATAAATGATTCGGTTGAAAAAAAAATCAGAGAGTGACACCTGAAGAAGACCGAAAATTACAACAGCCGAAACGTTGTGGGAATAACAACCTAGATGTGTTTGCTAATTCGAATGGAAAAACAAAATAAAAGAAATCGGGATATTAAAGCAGATGAAAATGATTTAGCGAAGAAAACAGGAAAGGAAGAACGAAAACTTAAGTAACGTGTGGAGGAAGAATCTTTTGACTTTGTTAATATTACCAATTTTGCATATTGTTATTTTTTTTTCATTGCATTGTACTATGGGATTCAGGCCAGGAAATTTTCGTGCATAGAGAGTCGAAGGCCAAAATGTCGAAAGATAAAATGACGAATGGATAAAATGTCGAACAAACAAAATGACGAATGGATAAAAATATCGAACAGACAAAATGACGAATGGATAAAAATATCGAACAGAAAAAATGACGAATGGATAAAATTTCGAACAGACAAAATGACGAATGGATAAAATATCGAACAGACAAAATGACGAATGGATATATGTCGAACAGACAAAATGACGAATGGGTATATGTCGAACAGACAAAATGACGAATGGATAAAAATATCGAACAGACAAAATGACGAATGGATAAAATTTCGAACAGACAAAATGACGAATGGGTATATGTCGAACAGACAAAATGACGAATGGATAAAAATATCGAAAGACAAAATGACAAATGGATAAAATATCGAACAGACAAAATCTCGAATGGATAAACTGTCGAACAAAGTACCGAATGGACAAAGTTTCGAACTGAAAAAAGAGCCGAACTGACCAAATGACAAAAAGCCAGTAATGTGTAATGTGTCTACAATAGAATACCTTTTACTTAGCATGCAAATATTCTGCCGGTAAACAGTGATGGGCAAGAAGAGTGGGGAACAGCCGGTATAAATGTGCCGGGCTTCGAAACCCGAGGGGCCTCAAGAAAATTCCTTTAGGGGTTTAGTGATGGTGGGGGGGACTTCTTTACAAAAATTAAGAGAAAATTTACGAATCGGTAAAAAATACGAAGACTAAAACCAGTTCCAAAGCAGCTTAAAAGTGCATTTTTCGAACTTTCTTTGAAGCAAAATGCGCGATGAGATCCTCAAAGTTTAACTCACGTGCCAAATCACACTCGATCGCAGAGTTTCCCAATTAAGACACGCTCTTTAATAAATCTTGTAAGACGCGCTAGATCGAGATTGTTTGTCTCACCCTCTCTTCGTTTTCCGACCGAAAGACCTCAACATAATCTGAGTGCCGGACCTAGGAAATTCTCTCCCCAGTACGACTGGTAAATAATCATTTTTAAATATTAAACAAGTATAAAAACCTCCGATGAAAAAAAGACTTTCTACGTATTTTCTAACTTTTTTTTTTTAACAAGGATCTACAATAAAACTAGAGTAAAGAGTTACAATTTTTATTCATGAGAAATTACAACTGTGGTAAAAATAGACTCATATGAACATATATATATATATATATATATATATATATATATATATATATATATATATATGAAGACTCAATTCAATTTGTTAAAAAAAATAGTGCATAATAAACAACCCCCCAAAATCGGACCGCTAACCGATGATTATGAAGGCTTAATCACTTTTATGGCTATTATTTATTAAATGATGCAAAAGATAAATAAAAAGGTTTAGAATAATTTAATTGATTATTTCAACAGAGTTTTTTTTAAAATCATTTTGTCCTTTTAAAAATGTCTTTTCGACATTATGTCATGTCATCATTTAGTCAGTTGGATTCTTTTGTCCATTCGACACTTTGTTGGTTCGATATTTAGTCCGTTCTACATTTTGTCTGTTCGACATTTTGTCCCTTCGTCATTCTGTCTTTCTCCACTTTGTCCTTTGACACTCTGACCTACTATCATCATTTACAGACTCAAGGAATTGTTCTATTAAGCGTGGTGGGAGTTGTCTTGTATGATACTTTTTATAAAGAAATCTGCTGATAGTGTATTGGTACGTCAGTGATCCTTATATATTTCCAAGAAAGTTATCTGGGGAGATAGATCTCTTGAGTCAGTAACAATAATTTTGAACGAAATCCACAAGACTTGTCATAAATTGATATACAATATTGGCGACGGGAAACTTCAAATATACAACAGAGACAAATGCGTTTACACTTCCAATAAAACAACAATGGAATTCAATGCGATTATAATGTTGTTCCATGGCAGAACTGAATTTGCACTCAGTTCCAAACCAGACATTAAGGGAGTCTTTCCGACATTTTGTCTATTCGTCGTTATTCTCCACTTTGTCCTTTGACACTCTGACCTTCTACCGTCATCCACAGACTCAAGAAATTGTTCTATTAAGCGTGATGGGAGTTGTCTAGTATGCTACTCTATATAAAAAATAATATACAAAAAGGTTTAGAATATCTTAATTGATTATTTATATCTAGTTTTTAAAATCATGACGATATGTTCGTTTTTACATTGTTCAACATTTTATCCTTTTGAAACTTTGTCTTTTCGACATTATGTCCATTTGACATTCAGTCAGTTTGACTCTTTTTTTCTGTTCGACACTTTGTTCGTTCCATACTTAATCCGTTCTCTAATCAGTTACTTGATGTTAAGATGGAATTCATCAAGGAAGGCAACGTAGTTTTTCCTAACTCATGTACTTTCGATCTTTGCCAACATCATCTTCAGAGGTAAATTACAGAGACGTGAATTTCTCGTTAAAGAAGTGGAAAGCATTATTATAAAAATAAGTAGATCACAATAAGTCTATATTATTCAATGAAACATGTCTGAATGAAGATATGCTGTTGGCAATTCCTCAGGCCCCCAACGCTGAATCCAGTTTAATTTTACTGGCATTATTTCAAGCAGGGGACATTGTAGTAGTAGCATCTCTTATTGGAGGAGGTGAAAGGGGGATAAAGGAAACTGACCTCAATAGATCAGTGACCAGTGATTTGCCATCACCAAGAATAGCTTGTCTAGGTGGCTGAAGTCATATCGAAAATATTGCATACGACATTCAGTAACCCAATAAGTTTTGATGACGTAAAAGAATCCAACACGGGTATGAACATAATAATAATAATAATAATAATAATAATAATATGAATAATAATATGAATAAGAAGAAGATGATTCAAGAAGAATATGAGAAGCCATAATTTATGTTTAGTGGCTAGGCAGATAAATGGTTTGCAACCTATGCTCATGTATCGTAAACTATAAAAACACGTCATATATATATATACACGTACGATACAAAGAAATACTTGAAATACTAGTAAAGCTTGATCTACATGGAGAGGATATGTACTTGGTGCGAAATGCTTACATATTTGAGAGGTGGGTGAACAAGTAATGGAAGAAGAAATGATTAAACGGTGCTAAAAAAAAGGAGGAAAAAGAGGAGATAACTCAGAAAGAAAACACGACCGAGGAATCGGAGAGCCGAGTTCGAATTCCAGTCACGTTCATTACATTCACCAGTCCAAATTTAACTCTTCCCCCCCAGCTATGGGTAAATAGCAGGACAGACTTGATTTTATACTGGTCCTGGGTGGCAACCGGTCTAGGCGAAGGAAAACCCTGAATTCAAAACTGTATGTAGCCTTGGCTAAGCATATATTACAAATTGCAGGGCAGATTGGGTTCTATTGCCTTGGGGTGCAACCAACCTAAGAGAAGGAAAAATCTGAATTCAAAACTATGTAGTCCTGGCGAAGCACATACTATGCAATTAAGGAAAGAGTTGTTCATATTGACTCGATGATTCCGACTATGGTCGAATTCTTTTATTTACATGAGTTATCGTGTCGAAAGTATGGGTACAAAGTTGCAGATAATTCTTGTAGAATAATTGAAGAATTTCGAAATCCATCAATATTCTGGTAGTGTGATTTTCAGACATACAGGGTGATGCACCATCGCTGTCTGGATATTATTGTGCTAGATAAAGACGCCCAGAACTGTTAAATTATTGCCATATCAAATAGCACAAATATGGCGGAGAAGGTAATTGAGAAAAAATTCTAGACTATTCTGATTTGAAAGTTGAGAATGCAAGATTGTCTGAAATGGTGGAAGGGAATGTCAAGACCATTCCAGTAGTGATTGAAGTATTGAGATTTATCCTATTAAAACTGTTTGATTTCCTTGACCATCTGGGGGTACCATACAAGCTTGGAATCATCCAAAAATCGGCTCTTATGGGTACTGAAATTATTTTGAATAAAGGGTTGTCTGTCTGACCTGCTTATTGTAATTTAGTGATTTTCCAAGCTACGCTTGGATGTGGCACAAGACTAAAAGTAAGGGGCACCCAGTGAGAATCGAACTCCCTACTCATTTGTAATTGTTCTAACGAGACAAGCTTGCTAACCATTACACCACCTCGAGGTGCCCCCTCCTTATTGTAACTTAATGCGCTTGGTGTATTCCAAAACTTAGACTGCGTGGCAAAACTGAAGAAGAAGAAGAAGAAGAAGAAGAAGAAGAAGAAGAAGAAGACGGAGGAGGAGGAGGAGGGGAGGAGGAAGAAGAAGAAGGGGAGAAGAAAAGGAAGAAGAAGGAGGAGGAGGAGGAAGAAGGAAGGTGGATGGAGGAGGAGGTGGAAGAAGGGAGAAGGAGAAGAAGAAGAAGAAGAAGAAGGAGGGGAAGAAGAAGGAAGGAGGAGAAGAAGAAGAAGAAGAAGAAGAAGGAGGAGGAAGGAGGAGGAGGGGAGGAAGAAGAAGAAGTAGAAGGAGGGGAGAAGAAGAAGAAAAGAAGAGGAGGAGGAGGAAGAGGGGGAGGAGGAAGAGGGGAGGAGGAAGAGGGGAGGAGGAAGAGGGGGGAGGAGGAAACGGAAAAGAAGGAGGAGGAGGAGATGGAGGAAAAGAAGAAGAAGGAGGAGGGAGAGGAAGAGGAGGAAAAGAAGAAGAAGAAGAAGAAGAAGGAACTATTAGTAGTAGCAGTAGTAGCAGTAATAATATTAACATTGTATCCAGGCCAAAAAACTAAATTAAATTATCGTAAACAAAGAAAGATCTTACTGATAAAGACTCTCGCTGCTCAAACAATTCACAGAGTGAAACTAAAAGAGATTGGAAAATTAGAAAGAAATATATCGATATCACTAAAGAATTGGGAAAAAAAATTATTGTGGAACATGAAGTTGATAATTTCGTCCATCTTTATTGCATCGCTTGTTGCATTCTCGAAGAAACTTTAAAAAAAAGAAGAAAAGTCGAAATACCAAGAAAGACTAAAGACTACTGACGACATCTGTCAGTGAGAATGATATAGAAAATATTGGAGTATTGCAGAAACCTTCTGTCACTTGATCTAATGCGACAGTTTTGCCAGTAATTATCAGAACACACGGAAGAAAAGCGACCAGTGTGAGCAATACACATACACAAAGACCTATGCTCATGTATCGTAGCCTACACAAAATCGCTCGAAAATGTACAATACAGGGAAATGCGTGAAATACTAGTAAAGCTTGCTCTACATGGAGAGGATGTGTACTTGGTGCGGAATGCGATTATATTTGAGAGGGGGATGAAGTGAGTGATCTAGAAGAGAGAGAGTGTGTGTGCGTTGGAAGAGAGAGAGTGAGAGAGAGGAAAAGAGAGAAAGAATGACTGTCGAGAGAGAGTGGCGGGAAGTGAGTGATCTAGAAGAGAGAGAGTGTGTGTGCGTTGGGAGAGAGAGAGTGAGAGAGAGGAAAAGAGAGAAAAATGACTGTCGAGATAGAGTGGCGGGAAGTGAGTGATCTAGAAGATTGAGATAGAGAGATAAAGTAGTAGGAAAGAGTGTGATGCAGAAGGACGAGTGAGTGAGAGAGAGAGAGAGATATACTGTGCTGTGAGGAGACAGGGGAAGTGAATGACGGGAAGAGACGGCGAGTAAGAATTCGGGAACATCGGGAAACATGGTTAACAACAAAAGAAAAGTGTGATGAACTTTCATGAAACATTTAATCTCAATTTTCTTAATCTCAATTTTCTTAATCTCAATTTTCTTACAGCTGTTAAAGTGACTTGAACCTAAAGTGATGAAGTTCTACAAAGAGATACTCAGAATAACATGGGCAGAATATATGAGCAACAATGGTTTTTTTTAAGAAAATAAGATCCACAAGAAAACGTATACTTACAATCAGAAAGAGTCAAATTTAATATCAGGAACACATAATAAGGAGTCTAAAATCTAGAAATTTAACTTTCACGAAACACAGTGAAAGCACGAAAAACAGAGGAAACAATGAGTATCGTAGTTAAATAGTTTGTGCAAATGGATGACAGATTTTATTTTTTACGGTTTATCAACCCTTTTTGGGTTATTTACATCAGTTATTGTGTCGAAAGTATGGGTACAAAGTTGCAGATAATTCGAGCATGTGTCTTGTAGAAAAATTGAAGAATTTGGAAATCCATCAATATTCTGGTACTGTGATTTTCAGACACACAGATTGATGCACCATCGCTGTCTGGATATTATTGTGCTAGATAAAGACGCCAAGAACTGTTAAATTATTGCCATATCAAATAGCAGAAATATGGCGGAGAAGGTAATTGAGAAAAAATTCTAGAATATTCTGATTTGAATGTTGAGAATACAAGATTGTCTGAAATGGTGGAAGGGAATTCCAGTAGTGATTGAAGTATTGGGATTTATCTTATTAAATCTGTTTGATTTCCTTGACACCCTGCGGGTACCATAAAAGCTTGGAATCATCCAAAAATCGCCTCTTATGGGTACTGGGATTATTTTGAGTAAAGGGTTGTCTGTCGGACCTCCTTATTGTAATTTAGTGATTTTCCAGGCTACGCTTGGATGTGGCACAAGACTGAAAGTATGGGGCACCCAGTGAGGATCGAACTCACTACTCATTCGTAATTGTTCTAACGAGACAAGCTTGCTAACCATTGCACCACCTCGAGGTGCCCCTCCTTATTGTAACAATGGGTTTTTTAAGAAAATAAGAACCACAAGAAAACGCTTACATCTGGCCACCTAACTCCCCAGATTGCATCCTCTTGATTACTATATGTGGGGCGCAGTTGACCAATAAAACTCCTTGTAACACCAAACATGAACTGAAGGCAAGGATCATGGCTGCATTCAGCTACTTAAACAAGGAGACCGTCCAGAAGAGATGATGGAGATTCTAAAATCATCTGGACGGCATGGTTAACGCCAATGGCGATTTTAGTGAATAAATGTACTCTTTAGTATTTCAAGATGTTTTGGTGTTGAAACTTGACTAATGCATGGAATAATAATAATACAACACAAAATGTACTTAGAACAAAATGTATTGAAACAAGAAAGTGTACACAATATTTACATATAGTCTTTTGTATATTCTTGGGAAGACCGTTCCTGGAGAATGTGTTGACTTAGTCGCAGTCGGGCAGAGTCTCTGGATTGAATCTCTTGATTCCTCCCTCTCTTCCCGGTACCAACCATATTTATATGGTCGGTACTCCACTATGCAAATTAGGTGGATCCTACCACAACATATATATATATATATATATATATATATATATATATATATATATATATATATATTTTTCAAACGTTATTTTTAGTGAATATTAAAAGAAATCAAATAAAGATAATTTATGTATATAGTCGCATATTTTACATTAATAAAATTTTAAATATTTCAACCCCGGTTTTTAAATGAATATACTATTTAGTAAATAAACGGAGCGTCTATTCAAATACAAGTATCCACTAAAAATAATTTTTGAAGTGATATATTTAAAAAAAATTTAAAAATTCTAATACCACTTTGAAATTTTGAAATCAGTTGTATTGACCGGCTAATATACGTATGATGACGCCGAAAGTGTCAGGAAATATTCCCTGTTGGTATGTCCTATAATCCCCACAATATGTGGGCTTGTATGCAGGTCACTAGTGCGACTGAAGTGCCACATACGCCACAAATATCTAAACTGGATGAGGTTGTCGGATTCTCATACGTCGAAATCCAACGGAAAAAAAAAATCATATATATATATATATATATATATATATATATATATATATATATATATATATATATATATTTAAACATTTTTTTTCCCCAAAGAACATAAAAATTCTTAAGATTTAAATTAATTAACTATGAACAAAAAAGAGGATTATCTATCTATCATATCTATCTATCTATCTATCTATCTAAATATATATATATATATATATGTGTGTGTGTGTGTGTGTGTGTGTGTGTGTGTGTAATAATATTTTTTAAATAGTTAAAAAATAGTTAGAAATATTCTGCAATAACTTTTTTACCTCCTTGACATTACTGCAAGTATATATGTTTACATGATAATTTTTTTTAAAAATTTACAGTGCATAAGTTTAGTGTTTTTCATTCACAAGTAAAAAAATGAATTGTCAGATGAACACAGCAATATTGTCTTAGCAAAAACAAGTCCCTGAAGATGACATAGATAATAATGTCGAAAAGTATTAAAATAGAAAATTCATATACATCAGCATCGTAATTTTCTTTCTTCCTTTAATAAGCATATTAAGAAACTTGTCCGTAAATATGAGAGGATTCTATTAAGAATAATTAAACAATACTTATCTGAATCGTTTAATAAGATATATTTATATATATATATATATATATATATATATATATATATATATATATATATATATATATATATGTGTGTGTGTGTGTGTGTTTGTGCGTGTATGTATATATAAGAGAGAAGGTAACATAATAAGGCATAACATAAAAAAAAAAAAGCTATACATCATTGAAGGTTCACATCCTTAATTAAAAACACAGTAGTTAAACCACCTCTTTCTATGACAGTGTTTCATCTGCAAATGAAGGCATGTAAAAAGTTTCAATAAAGCTCAGTTGGCTGCCGATGTTGCAATTAAATAAAGAATATTTTTACTACTCTATTTCACCACCTGACATTCTACGCACAGACGTTCCTCCTTTTAGTCAAAAAAAAAAACAAACAAAGGGAATTTTGAAGCAACCATCTTGTATATATATATATATATATATATATATATATATATATATATATATATATGAATATATATATATATATATATATATATATATATATATATATAAAAATATGTTAACGTCAAATCTTTAAAATCATTGCCATCGCATTTGATATATATACATAAAAAGGTGCGATCATAAAATTGAATTTATTTTTGGATTTTTTTTTTGCATCGCATAGTTCATGGAAATTTTCAATTCGGAAACAACAGTTTATTCTGCGTGACATAAAAATTGGAGAATTCCAATAAAAATTTCAGAAGTGTTTAAATGCCAATCTGAGATTTTAAAAGGATTGAAAAAAGAGTTAGATGAGTCAATGGTAATTACGAAGGTTGAAAAAAAGTGATTAGTAGTGATAGCGACGTTATTTCATCATTCCTCTCCTCACAGGGTCTTATCAATTTTTCTGGGGGGGATAGTACTACAATTTGGGTCAAGAAAATGATTATTTGGGAGACCCTTTTATGGCAACAGGATATATTACGTTCACCATGCTTTTATATAAGGGGAAATCACGGTATGGCTCTTAGTCAATTTCTGCGACTACATCATACTTTACATCTAGCCATCTACCTACCAGACTGCAATCACCGAGATTATTATGTATGAAAAAAAGTTCCAAAAGGAGAATTTTACATTTTCTCTTGTAACATTAAAAAGATAAACTGAAGACAAGGACCAAGGGGAATTTATAGAAGAAGTTGCAGATTTTGATGAAGTTGTTTCTTAGCCGTGATTGAAGCCAATGGCGGATTTATTCAATAATTTAATCCTTAATATTTCAAGATATTTTTAATCTTGGTAAATATATCTGTTAAAATGAGATGTCAGTGTTATTAAGTTTTTTAATGTTTTATTAATTAACGATAATTTATTCATATAATATATATATATATATATATATATATATATATATATAGTTGGTTATAAAATATATATATATATATATATATATATATATAGATAATTTATAGAGAGAGAGTTGCGATGGATAAATATATATATATATATATATATATATGTGAAAAGTGTATATAAAAATAGATAAATATATATATATGTATAATTACTTATATATTTATAGAACGAAATATTTATTAGAAAGCAAAAATAAAAGAAATTAATATTTATTAACATATTTGTGGAATGATTTTATTGATTTTGTGACCTGGGTTTCACGATGATATATTAAAATTTCATTTGAATTTTTTATTATATCACAACAAAAATTACATCTAATTTTTTAATAAATATATATATATATATATATATATATATATATATATATATATATATATATATATATATAAATATAAAAAATGACATATATATATATATATATATATATATATATATATATATATATATATAGAGAGAGAGAGAAGATTAGTTTAAAAGAAATTGTCCTGAGATTTTTTTTAAGGTTAAAACTTAAAAATGGATATATAAAAAAAGAAAGAGGATAAAGTTATAAAAAAAAAAGTTTAAAAATTAGCATATTTCATTGACAAGAATTAAAAATATACAAAGAATCGAAAATATCAAGTACAACTTTAGCAAACAAAAAAAGTTCTAAGTTTTATGAAATGATTTGTGATTCCGAGGGAAACGTGAGAAATGTGAAACATTGTAAAATGTGAGTGCGTGAGAAATCGTGAATGTGAACATGTGCACATTGCTTAAGTGAATTAAAAAGATTTAAAAATAGAAACATGAGAATTTAATAGATTGGGATAGAGAGATTTTAGAATAAAAGAGAGAGATGCGAGTATATGGAGAGAAAGTTTGAAAGGAATATGACTCGAAGAAGTCGATAAGTGAGTGAAAAGGTGAAAGCAGGAATGGTCCTGTGGCAGGAAAGCCTGCTGGATGACAAGAAATAGAGAGGTCGATAAGGGAGTGAGAGAGAACGTACAAGGAGAGAATGAAGAGGGAACAAGTACAGAAAGAGAGAGAGAGAAAGAGAGAGAGAAAGGGAGAGAGAGAGAAAGGGAGAGAAAGAAAGCATTAAGTTTTGGCGGTCAAACAGATCTATATAAAAACAGATGAACTTAATGAGAAAAATGTTTCGTTCAGTAAAGACAGCAACGTTATCACAAACAGATATGAAGAGATAAATATGTAAGAACATATTCAGATAGATAGATAGATAGATAGATAGATAGATAGATAGATATGGAGTGGCTGAGATAGATAGATAGATATGAACAGATAGATAGATATATAGATATAAATAGAATGGGATAGATAGATGAGAATGAGATAGATAGATAGATAGATAGATAGATAGATAGATAGATAGATAGATAGATAGATAGATAGATATATGAACACATTGAGATAGATATGAACAGATAGATAGATGCATAGATAGGTAGATAGATAGATAGATGTGAAAAGACTGAGACAAATAACTAGATAGGAAAAGATTGGGAGTTAGATGAATGGATTTATATATTAGGTAGATATGAAAATGATGATATATATATATATATATATATATATATATATATATATATATATATATATATATATATATATATATATATAGATAGAGAGAGAGAGAGAGAGGGGGAAGAATCTGAAATAGATATTATATATTTTTTTTCACCCAGTATAAGGTTATATATATATATACAGGAGATATAAACATATATATATATATATATATATATATATATATATATATATATATATATATATGAAATAAAGAGAGAGAGAAAGATATATAGATTATGGAAACAAAAGTAAAATACTTTTCATAGATATGATAGATATTGCAGACAGATAAATAGAACTAATAAATAAATATATAATGACCAGACTGATAGATAGATAGATAGATAGATAGATAGATATGATAGATAGATAGATAGATAGATAGATAGATAGATAGATAGATAGATAGAATGATAGATAGATAGATAGATGAATGAATAGATGAGATAGATAGATAGATAGATAGATAGATAGATAGATAGATAGATAGATGGACAATGACAAAACTAAAATAGATAGATAGATAGATAGATAGATAGATAGATAGATAGATAATGACAAAACTAAGAAGAGATAGAGATAGATAGATAAGATAGATAGATAGATAGATAGATAGATAGATATGAATAAAATGGGATAGATAGATAAAGATAGACTGAGATAGATAGATAGATAGATAGATGATAGATAGATAGATAGATAGATAGATAGATAGATGACAAAACTAAGATAGATAGATAGATAGAAAGATAGATAGATATAAATAGAATGGGATAGATAGATGAGAATGAGATAGAGTGAAATAGATAGATAGATAGATAATGACAAAACTAAGATAGATAGATAGATAGATAGATAGATAGATAGATAGATAGATAGATAGATAGATTTTATACACTCTTTCACCTAATACAACCACTCTAGTTTGTATTTAATGAGAAGGAAGTGAAGTTCTTATTATGAGTAGATGTAAGATACATAACGGTTAACTATAGACTTGAAGTGCTTAAGCTACACATCGGGGTAGCGCCCACTCCTATTTTTGCTTGACAAAACAACAATTCTTAGGAAGAAGCTCACAGGAAGTGATATAAAAGAAAGAAAGGAAGTGAGTGGAAAGGAAGATAATGCTAAAGCCTAAGAAAAAGCGATAGTAAAAAGGTAAAAGACAGAGAGAGCGTAGACAGATTTGTGGAGAGGAAAGAAGACGAGAGGAACAAAGACGGGACATTGTCCGAGGCAAAGAAAGAAAGATTACACATAAACGCATTATTATTATTATTATCATTATTATTAATTAATTAAAATAGACCATTCTAGTTATCTTAATAACCACAGTATTACAATACCAGGATTTTCCCCGAAAGTTCAAAGCGTTAAAATAAATGAATAACAAATGGAACGATGATCTATGAATTGATTATTAAATCTTTCAACATCTGTCTAGATTTATCAGATGAGGTATTTGTCACTACAGGGTACCTTACAAAAAAAAAAAAAAAAAAAAAAAAGGAAATTTCGTATAGTTTATTTAATTGTTGGAATTTTTGTTACATTTATTTGAAAGAAAAACAAAAGATGGAAATTTAGTCGCTTTAAAACAAAACAAAAACGCAAATGTTAAATGTGGCGTTCAAACTAAAGAATTCTGGTAAAATTTCAGGGCATTTTTTCCAAGTTGGATGTTTTTTCTTAAACAGAAGAATCATCTTGCATTGAAAAATTGGTTACTGCGGAATCCTGGAACAATAAATGGTTAAAAAATTTACATGTTTGGCCTTTTTTTTTTACTTCATTCGGACAGTAATATATGCAATTAATGTTTTTTATACGTTAGTTAATTTTTTTACTTCATTCATATAGTAAAATATTTAATTAATTTTTTTATATATTACTTAAATTTCTACTTTGTTCGTAGAGTAAAATATGTAATTAATCTTTTTATATGTTAGTTAATTTTTTACTTCATTCATATAGTAAAATATATAATTTATTTTTTATATATTACTTAATTTTTTACTTTATTCGTACAGTAAAATATGTAATTAATTTTTTTTATATGTTAGTTTTTTTTTTTACTTCATTCATATAGTAAAATATGTAATTAATTTTTTTATGTATTACTTAATTTTTTTTAATCATATAGAAAATCTAAAATTTGCTGATTTTTTTGTGCGGGGGCACCCTGTATTTACACTATTTTCATTGTTTGGACTGTTATCCTCATCTTTATTGTCATATTCAAGGGCAATTGGCCATGTGGATAAAAGCTTTGGTTGAAGTAATGCAAAAGTAACTTGACCCAGAGAGTTGTGAGTTCGATACCTGATCATAGCGGAGGTGAACAAAAAAGAATTTGAGTAGTTGAGGTAATAAAGGGAATTAACTAAAACTGAGATATCCAGTAAAGGCATGGCACGTGGAAGTAGAACAATCTAGCCCAGTGGGCTAAATAAACGGTTTGGTACGAAATTCCAACGTATATCACTAAATGAGGCCGGAGCGTACAATGGCAGAAACATCGTGCAAATGGCAATATAGATGAGCACAAGAGCCTGGACAATGTAAATAATATGAAATAATATGAATATTAAATCTTTGTTGACAGGGCTAGCAGCACACGGCAACCATTTCTCTCCGGAATGAGGAATAACATTTTATCTTTCTTGTCATTATCACAACGTTTCAACCGTTGTGTCCTCTGAACTTCATCAGTCGGTTAGAGTAACCTTTCGAATTGACCCCTTTATTTCGTCTACGGGGATATGTTGCTCCTCACCCGCTTACTGTATTTCGACTAGGTGTGATTTTAGTACTGCTCGCCCCGTTTCCAAATACGCACTGCTCGGTCCAGGGATTGAACTCACAATTATTATGCCACCAAATTGGCCAACCAACGTTTTAATCAGTTAGACCATTGCCCCATTCAGATTGGAAAATCCCTGAATTTTTTCCAGAGCGAGATGTCCTTGATGGATGCTGGAAGGCACAGCGAAGGGTGAAATATTGTGATAATAACAACAAAGATGAGGACAATAGTCCGCATGTAAATAACTTGGCTATTAGTAGCAAAATAGATATAACAGTAATTTAGAATAGAATATCAAAATAATGGACTACAGTGAAAAACAATGAGGATGAAAAAAAATCTGCAAATATATAAAGAACAAACAACCCGATCAGCAGTCCAAGCATAGACATTAATATTATATTGGAGCAATTAAACCAGAGGGAACAAAAGATGAATTTTTGTTTCCAAAAACTGGGTAGGGTCAGGGTGTAAGGTCATGAGAGTCGACCCCAATATTTCATAAATACAAATATGGCATTGTTGAGAAGGAAGGATCTGTAATGTAATCAATCATCACCTGACATCTCTGCTTCAGTCACTTTCTCACAGACGTGATGTGGCTTCCCTCTGTCTTTTCCATAAATATTTTCACAGCAATTACTCTGGAGGGATTTTTCCCCGGGTCCCCAAATAGATGAATTTTAGCGGGCTACTAGATTGGCACATAGGTCTCACTCGTTTACTGTTGAAATAGCGAAATGCAACCAACACTTCTACTCCGACTGTTTCTTTTCTCGCACTTTCATACATATAACTCGTTTTTTTTTCCTTTGCTTCCCTGATAACTAAAATCTTCAATAGTTTAAATGCAACGTCAATCGTCATCTTTTGTCTTCTTGAATCCCGTTCATCGTTTGTCCTTTCCTCAGTCCTCTTTATACTCAGTCTTTGCTTTCACTTTCACTTTCACTCTTGGTACCCCCCTGGATACTAATAGCATCCGCCCCACCCCCTTGATTAAAAAATAACATAAAGAAACACTACAGCATTCAGATTTAGAAAAATAGAACTGGTCATTCGCAGCAAACCGGAAATTACCAACAAAAAACAACAAAAATGAGGATCATGGTCAAGAAGGTTTTTTTCCCGCCTGAGGCCATCCTTCAAATCTACGAATCTATCGTTCGTCCTTGCATTGAATACAGTTGCCATATATGGTCTGATGCCCCCGTGGTTCATCTTGAGGTTCCCCACAAAATCCCAAGACGGAAATGCAATTTGATAGGTCCTGATCTGGCATCTCGACTCCAGTCACTTTCTCAGAGATGTGATGTAGCCACCCTCTGTCTTTTCCACAAATAATTTCATGACAACTGCTCTGACGAGCTACTTTCACTGGTACCGAAACTGCATGAATTCAAGCGTGCTACTAGGATGGCATTTCGGTCCCACCCTTTCACGGTCGAAACAGTTAAATGTAACCGCCTCTTCTACTCCAACGGCTTCTTCTTTCACACTTCCCAACAATGAAACTCCCTTCCTCTTACTTGCTTCCCTGATAACTATAATCTTCAAATATTCAAATGTAATGTTAATCGCCATCTTCTGATGTCTTCGGTTGATCTCTCAATTTTCTATATCCTTTAATGCAACCACCCTCTTTACTTTTCTCTCTTTTTCTATAACCCCTTGCGTGATAGTGGCGTCCCGATTTGCTTGGGGCGAAATGCTTTAAAAAATGAGTCTAACTCTCTGTGTCTGCTCGGTCTCATGTTGACTGCTGACCTGAGATGGAACAAATACATTGAGTCAATTGCTTCGTCCACCGCAAGGAAAGTTGGCTCCCTGTGCCGCGCCAGGAAAATTTTCTCCCCAGAATCGATCCTCCAGATCTACAAATCAACAATTCGCCCTTGCATGGAGTATTGCTGCCATATATGGTCTGGTGCCCCTTCTGTTTCCCTCGGGGTTCTTGATAGGCTCCAGGGGTGGATATGCAATATAATTGGCCCTGCTCTGGCATCTCGTCTACAGTCACTCTCTCACGGACGCGCCGTCGCCTCTCTCTGTCTTTTCTACAAATATTTTCATGGCAATTGCTCCGAGGAGCTGCATTCGCTGGTTCCCAGACTTCATGAGGTCAAGCGCCCTACGAGGCTGGCATCCCGCTCTCACCCTTTCACTGTAGAAACTTTCAAATGTCGCCATCTCTTCTACTCCAATAGCTTCATACCTCGCACCTCTCGCCTGTGGAACACCCTTCCCAATTACTGTTTCCCTGAGAGCTATAATCTCCAACTATTCAAATGTAATGTTAATCAACATCTCCAGTTACCTTGATCTATCCACTATCCTTCTCTTCATCCTTTTTTCTATCACTCCTATCTGCTCTCGCTCCAAATCTTCTGCAACCCCCTGCATCCTAGTGGCTTCAGGCCTTGCTCGGGGCGTAATGCTTAAAAAAAACAAAACAAAAAAAACCCTCATTTTGGAATATAATTAGCGGAACACAGAACAGTCGCCAAGATACTTGCAAAGATACCGCTTTATTTAATATCCGAACGTCCAGTTGAGCAATGGGGTCACCTCGACGTGGTGTCATGGTTAGCAAGCATGCTGTGCTAGAACAATTACAACTGAATAGTGAGCTCGATCCTCACTGGGTGCCCCCTACATTCGGTCTAATGTCACATTTAAGCTAAACTTAGAAAATCGCCACTGAGTTGAGCGATTGTGTAATGGAAGCAGTTCTTGTCACTTGCGAAAACTTCTAAATACTTAGAGCCATGTCCCTTCAGAATATGGGTGGTCATAGCTCTTCACAACTTCCAATCTTTGTTACTCCTTGTAATAGCTATCTCCGTGCTATTCCTCTCAGACTCATTTATACCATCCATCGACACAAACCCGTAAGGCAGATTTCTCTTTGGGCAGGTGATCATAGCTCTCCACTACTCCCTATCCTTTTTAGCGCCAGGCAATATTTTTCTCCTTAGTATCTGCCATCCATTTTACACAAGCTCATTAAGTAGGTTGCTTGTCTCTTTCTGTTTTTATGGACGATGGAAATGATCATCTCTTCTGCCATCCATTTACACAAGCTCATTAGGTAGGTTACTGTCCCATTATGTTCATTCAGGACGTGAGTGATTGTAGCTCTCCACAGCTTCCCATACATTTTAAAGAAAAGCAAAATGTGTCTCTTTATTATCCCTCCCGGGCCGTGTTCTACATACAAGTTATTTAGCTAGGTTATTCGTTGTTTGTCCCTGTCCCTTCAGAGCGTGTGAGATCATAGCTCTCCCCAACGTCCTATCCTTTTTAGAGCTAATCCTTATATTTTATATCAAACTCTGTTCTGCCATCCATTTACTCAAGATCATTCCGTACGCAACTCGCTGACACTTTTTCTCCCTTCAGACAGTGGATGATCATAGCTCTCCACAGCTTTTTATCCTTTTTAGAGCTAAGCATTATCTGTCTCAGGCATTAACAAATGCCAAAATATTTACTTTTTATGCGTCGTGTCCCTTCTGGACGTGGGTGCTCATAGCTCTCCACAATATCGTCATATATAGCTCTAAGCAAAATTTGTCTCCCACCTTTTGAACACCTGTTATTTTGTCTAGTCCCTGTCCAGCGATTTATTTACACATTTTGCTTTGGTAAATTACTATATGATTCTCCCGTCATTTTGGCTTTTCAATATACATATGCGTAAATGAAACATTTCCCAATGATATGTGAGAAATTCCATTTCCTTTCTATGGTGTCAAATTCATTACGATTTTTCTTAAAGCTTACTCATTGATCACATGTTTTCGTTCATATATGTTTCCGTAAAACAACATCTCTTGCTTCATATTCAAAATAATTTTGTCAGTGAAGAAATTGTCCACTATTCATTGCCATATAGGAGGATTGAAATTACATAGCAGTTCAAGAACTCTTTTCTTTGTTTCTCTTAGAAATTCTCCTCTTCATCTGTGATGAAATTGTCCAGCATTCACTGCCATATAGGAGGATTGATATTACATAGCAGTTCAACTCTTTTCTTTGTTTCTCTTGTTAAAAGTCTCTTCTTCATCTGTAGAAATTGTTCAGCATTCACTGCCATATAGGATGATTGATATTACATATAGCAGTTCAGCACTCTTTTCTTTGTTTCTTTTTGCTTCAAGTCTACTTTCTTCATCTGTGAAATTGTCCAGCATTCACTGTCATATAGGATGATTGATATTTATAGCAGTTCAAACTCTTTTCTTTGTTTCTCTTGCTTCAAGTCTCTTCTTCATCTGTGAGGAAATTGTTCATATTCATTCACTGCCATATAGGAGGATTGATATTACATAGCAGTTCAGCAAATCTTTTCTTTTTTTCTCTTGATAAAATAATCAAGTTTCCTCTTCATCTGTGAGGAAATTGTCCAGGATTCACTGTCATATAGGAGGATTGATATTACATAGCAGTTCAGCATTCTTTTTTCTTTGTTTCTCTTGCTTCAAGAAATTTCTTCATCTCTGAGGAAAAAATTGTCCAGCATATTTTACCATATAGGATTATTGATATTAGTTTGAGGAAATTTCAAATTTCTTTCCATATATTTTGTTTCTCTTGCTTCAAATATCGTCTTCATCTGTGATTTGTAAATTGTCCAGCATCCACTGCGATGGATTGATATTCCATAGCAGCGCCGAATTCTTGTCTCTGTTTCTAACAAATATTTCATGTCTCTTAATACTTTGCTAAACTTTTTTGTCACACTTTTGCTCACTGTTAAAACAATTCGAAAATATTTCCTCTTCTGTACTCGTTTGGTTTTGATGTTTCCAGCTTGCAGCCTATATCTTGAGCAGTCCCTTTTGCTAACGACCAAACATTCGGTCTTCCTACTATCGACAGTCCTTCCTTCTCGCTCTCATTTACTCAGTCCGTTGTTATTGGTTTGAATAAGAGAAATTATATTAATGATAAGATTATAATTGAATGCAGCAAGTTGTTGTAGAAGTAGAAGAAAAATACACATGACTGGGTAGGAACAGTAATCTACTGGCAACTGGGACATCAACTAGGATCTGAATATAAAAACTATCTACGGATCTACCAAAACATAAAATAAATTTTAGAAAGTGTCCTACAAATAAACAAAAAAAGGAATCTGGGACTGCCATTTAAACAGAACACACAGACTAGAACATGCTAAAGGATTAGATCTAATTATCGAAAAAGAAGACTAAAAGATAGATAGATAGATAGATAGATAGATAGACAGACAGACAGATAGATAGATAGATAGATAGATAGATAGATAGATAGATAGATAGGCAGACAGACATATAGATAGATAGATAGATAGATAGATAGATAGATAGATAGATAGATAGATAGATAGATAGATAGATATGAATAGACTGGTATAGATAGATATGAATAAACAGACATGGATAGATAGATAGATGAGAATAGACTGAGACATATACAGACATATATGAATAGATTGAGAGACAGCTGTGAAAAGATAGATAGATAGATAGATAGATAGATAGATAGATAGATAGATATGAGAAACATATAGATAGATGCATCTTAATCAATTGAGATCGATATAAGATAGATATGTTCAAACTGAAATTGATTGATAGATATGGATAAACTTAAAGAGATAGATAAATAGATATAAACAAACTGGCATAGATAGGTATGAAAACACTTTAGATATATAAGTTTATATATAAAACAATATATATAATATATATATATATATATATATATATATATATATATATATATATATATATATATATATATATATATATATATAGTATTTATGAATTGTGCTTAATATCAGTGAGTGAAATAACAAATAATCATAAATAGATGCGTTTTTTTTAAAAAAATGAACCCGTTTTTCTGATTGCAAAGGCGTTAAACCCAGGGTCACAAACAAACATCCATACAACTGAATACACACACACACACAAACACACACACACACACACATATATATGTGTGTGTGTATGTGTGATA